ACGAGTTGTTTGGGGGGGGTTTCGGGTTTTGGGCTTTTGGGATGAGGATTTCTGGGGCATAGGATTTGGGGGGTGAAAGGCTGAAAGCTCTGTTTAGGGGCCCTGAGTTTGGACGGACTGTTCGGAACCCTAAACCATAACCCTAAACCCTAAACCCTAAACCCTAAGAATTGCTTGGGGCTTCTTTGGGATCTCCTAGTCTTTGGGATCTCCTAGGGCTCATCGGGGTCTCAGCCCCACGGAAGGTGTTTCTCACCTGCACAGAAGCATCGGTTCAGGCCTTTTTGGGCTCACCTAGAGTCATGCGGGTTTAGGGTTTTACGGCCAGGGTTTAGGGTTTAGGGTTTCGGGTTTAGGGTTTAGTGTAATCTATGTTCCCTTAAAACAAAGGGGGAGGTGTGCCCAAAAATGAAGGTGCTCTAAGCCCTGAAACCCTTCGCCTTAAACCATACATGACCCTAAGCCGCTGGTTAGAATATTTTTTGCTTGACGACACATAGGTTACTCTAGGCAGGGTTCTGGGCTCAGGAGGATCAGATTGGAGTGGGGGGTGCTCAGCACCACTGGGTTCTACACTTCACGTGATCAAAGAGTTGGATCAACTTATCCCTAAACCCTAAACCCTGAACCCTGATCCCTGAACCCTAAACCCTAACCATGCATCTGGATTCATAGGGTTCAGGGTCGGTGTAGGGACATCATGATCGAAACCACAACTCCGTTTTGGTAATTTCTCAAACTAGAATATACCGCGGTCCGCAAAATGACTGAGGCCAGAGTTCTGCAACCTAAACCCTCAACCCCATCCCTTGTGTGTGGAATTCTGTCCACTGTTCCCTTCAGCCCAAATCGTTTAGTGGCTCACCCGCCCGTGCCGCCGAAGCCGTTTTATAATCGCCAGCAAGTGCTCTGGAGGCCTTTGACAGGAGCCTCAGCATTCACAGCACAGTTTAGGGTTTAGGGTTTAGGGTTTAGGGTTTACTGGGTAATATGTATGCCTTTGGGCTATTTTACCCTCTCCCTCGTTGCATAATTTCGGGTTTTTTGTTGGGGGGGGGGGGGGGGGGGAAATTCTTAAGGGCCCATGTAGTGTAGAGGTGGGGGGACTTCAGGGTTTAGACTTCTCCCGCGTTCTTAGTAGGGAAGGAGGGAAGGAGGGTCCTTTATAGACCCTTTAGTAGGAAGTACATAGGGTGCCTTCATGCCCTCATTCCCTACTAAGGACTAAGAGCCAGCCAGGTGCTTACAGTGTGGAGCCTAGCCCCCCTAAACCCTAAACCCTAAACCCTAAACCCTGAACCCTAAACCCTAAAGCCCCCCTAGAACCGTCAGTTGGACCTCCTGCCTGTTTTTTTGTGTTGCATTTCGCCGATAAAAGCCCGTTAAAAGGCAAGGGATGCCCCTTTGGATGCCCAGTAGTACCCTTATTCCCTTTTTGGGGGGGTTTAGGTTTATCCTTATAAACCCCTTTAAGCAAAAAAGGGCACCCTTTTTAAGCCTAGGTTACTGGGCAGCCTAGCAAAACCCCAAACCCCAAACCCTCTTCCTAGGTTATTCTGAGTCCGGGACAGTGAACTAACCCCTGAACCAAACCCTCAAAACCCTGCCCAGCAGCTGCGTGCATGTCGAGGGGGTGTCCGGTATTGGGGCCACAAGCCTTGATCCCCTAAAGCCCCAAATCCCAAGCCCTAAACCCTTAAGCCTTGATTTCAGAAGCACGGAGGATGAAGCCCTGAATCCCAACACGATGCATGGAGGCTAAGTAAATCCCAATTCCCCAGAACCGAGTTCTGGATTTTTCGGCTTACATCTTCCATACACTCGAAAGCTTCAAGCCTAAACCCTAAGGTATAGACCATAAACTGAAACCCAAGATGCTATGTTCTGAATGCCTAACCTTACTTGAGCCTTCAACCCCAATTCTTCAACCCGGGGGGCTACAAGTAGAAGGGTTTAGGGTTTAGGGTTTAGGGTTTAGGGTTTAGGGAGGGTTTAGGGTTTAGCTTTACGGCCTGCTTTCTGCTGAGGACTCCAAACTTTTGTCCTGAGGCTCGTGCAAGTTCCGTTCCGCCACCTCGCAGCAGAATTCGGGGTTTGGGTTTGAGGTTTCAGTGGTCTAGGGTAAAGGGGTTGGGAGATTTTTGGGGTTTTGGGTGTGGGTTTCAACTTATCAACTAGTGGAGGTAGCAGTAGCAGTAGTCGTAGTAGGTGGAGTAGTAGTAGGTGGAGTAGTAGTTGAAGAAATCTCCAGGGAGCAAAACACCACCCTAAAGCCTATAAACCCTAAGTCCCCGAAGGAGGAGTTGACAGGGGTTCAACCTGAGAGCCCGAAGTCACCAAAGCCCTGAAGCCCCATTTCCTAATCTAAGGCTCTGAAACCCTAAATCCTAACCCTAAACCCTCTACCCTAAACCCTACATTTCCTATATAAGACTCCGAAACCCGAAGCCCTAAACCCCAAGCCGTAAGCCGGACCTGACGCTACACAAACCCTACAGCCCTCCAGGCCTAGAACCTTGTTTCCCCCGCAGGTTCTTAGGGACGGGACCTTAGTTGGGACCCCTTCTATACCCCTTTTATACCCGAAAAAACCCAATTGGCTTCCGGACCCAAACCTTAAACCCTTAGCCCTAAACCCTAAACCCTAAACCCGAAACCCTAAACCCAAGCTTCCCTCAGGTGCGCCGCCTCGCAAGAACCATGGGGAAGGGAGACAAAGCCGCCAAGGCGGCGCAGGTGCCGCCAGGGTTTAGGGTTTAGGGTTTAGGGTTCAGGGTTTGGGGTTTAGGGTTTAGGGTTTAGGGCTTGGGATTTGGGGTTTAGGGTTTAGGGTTCAGGGTTTTGGTTTAGGGTTTAGGGTCTGGGGCTGGGGGTTTAGGGTTTGGGGTTTTGGGGCTTGGGGTTTTGGGGGGTTTTGGTGGGGTTTGGGATTCAGGGTTTAGGCTTTGGGATTTGGGGCTTAGGCTTCAGGGTTTCGTGGGATTTGGGATTTAGGGTTTGGGGTTTGAGTTTTTTTTTTTTTTTTTTTTTTTTTGGGGGGGGGGGTTTCGGGGTTTCGGGGTTTGTGGTTTTGGGGTTTTGGGTTTTGGGATTTTAGGGTTTAGTGTCTAGGGTTTGGGGTTTGGGGTTTCGGTGTTTATGGCTAAGAGACTCGAGTTTCTCAGTAAGGGATTTGGGGCGTGTAGGTTTTTCAGGAACCGTGCTGCTGAACACACGCACACACACACACAGAGACCGAGACCAAGACCCTCAAACCTTAATGTCAAGGGCTTTGAGTTTAGGTGTTTATGAGAATTTCCTCAAACAGGGGACGACCTTACATACCCTATCTTACTTTAAGCCTTATTATCCTCATAATCGGCACCCTCCACAAGATCGTAACCCCCCACCCCCAATTTTCGGAAGCCGCCTGATGATCCTAAGCCCGAAAACCTAGACCCCAAAGCTAAAACTACAAACCCTAAGCCCTCGAAGCTTTGGATGTTGAAGGCTTTAGAGTTCCCTCTAGATTCAAAACCCCAATGAAACCCTAAACACTAAACCCCAAACCCTAAGCTCTAAACCCCAAGCCCTAGCCCTAAACCCCAAACCTTAAACACCAAACCCCAAACCCTGAACCCCAAACCCCAAACCCCAAACCCTAAACCCTGAACCCTGAACCCTGAACCCTGAACCCTAAACCCTAAACCCTAAACCCTAAAGCCTAAACCCTAAACCCTAAACCCTAAACCCTAAACCCTAAACCCTAAACCCTAAACCCTAAACCCAAGCCAGGCCATCAGCCGAGCCTTCGGCTCCACGCAGGTGGCCACGGAAGCCCCACGTCCGCCTCGCGGCTCGAAAACCCTATAAACCCTAAGCTGATAGGTTTAGGGTCTAGGGTAGGGTTTAGGCTTTTAACGTTTTAGGCTGTGACACTTCTAGGCGGCTGCCGTGAGGTGATCTCCCGAATCGCACAGAAAGAAACGGTATCCCGAACCTGAATACCCTAAACCCTAAACCCTAAACCCTAAACCCTAAACCCTAAACTTCTACAAACGTGTAACCCTGACCTCCGCCAAGCCTCGAATCCATAGAGCCCGAAGCCACCAACCTCAATCGCTAAACCTGAGAAGCCCTAAACCCTAAACCCTAAACCCTGAACCCTAAGGAACCACAACCCCTGAAACCCCATAATTACATGTCATGCCGCAAACTCTCAACCCTAAACCCTAAATCCTAAACTACTAATTGCCGAAGAACCCCGAAAAACTAGAAGTACTCTTCCCTATTAAGGGTAATATAGGGATTATTATTGTTTATTCTTTTGGGGTTCTTAAGCAAATAGTGGTAAACCCTAAGCCCTAAGCCCTAAACCCTAAACCCTAAACCCTAAACCCTAACTCCTAAACCCTAAACCCTAACTCAGGCTGGCTCATATGGGAGCCGGGCTGTCCTTTGCCAAGAAGATCAAAGCGAGCCGTACGGCTCCCAGAGTTGGTGGTGCTGGCTTCGGCTGTCGTACCAAAGATAGAGGGTTTTGGGTTTAGGGTTTAGGGTTTAGGGTTTAGGGTTTAGGGTTTAGGGTTTAGGGTTTAGGGTGTCCCCAAACCCCTAAACCTTAAACCATCCTTAAACCCCTTAAACCCTAGACCCTGAACTCTAAACCCTAAACCCTAAACCCTGAACCCTAAACCCTAAACTCTTAATTATACTGTCTTGACAAGCCGGGCTCTAACCCCAAAATTCGGGACCCGGGTAGGGTTCTATGGTTACTAGTTGGGTCTTTCGTCCATAAGATGGCCGTGATCTGCTTTGCACCCCCTCAACGTGCGAAGTGTGTGTTGCCCGACCTTTGTCAGGGCCGTTGCCCAGTCTGAATAACTAGTATACATGATATACATATATAGTACTGTAGATGTATTATGTCATTAAGCATACAGTATAATATCGATTAAACAGAAGAAGGAGACATAATCATCATCAATACATACACATACCTTGCGGAAGGTTCCATCGACATGCCGATGCTGAGCCACGAGGGGAAGTCCGAGCGCGCCATTGACGGGAACACCGCCGCCGCTCACGTTGCCTACGCGCTCAGTGCCTTGACGAGGATCTGAGGCCAGGGCCCATGAACTCCTGGGCTTAGGGTTCCCCTAAATTCGGGTTTAGGGTTTAGGGTTTAGGGTTTAGGGTTTAGGTTTTGGGGTTCAGGGTTAGGAAATTTAGGTCTCCTAGCCTCACAAGTTGTTTTAAAACTCTTTGTTGGTACTTGTTTTCCTTCTAGGCAGTGCAGCATGCCTCTTCCTCAGCCAGAAGTCCCCCAAAACCAGACAAAAGAGACATGCGGATTACCAACAAAAACCTCCCCTGGGTTTTGCAGTACTATACTTCTATGCTTTTTTGCGGTCTGGGTTCCTATTCTAGCTACTTATACCTAAAAAGTATATACTTTTTTTCCAGGGTCTACTCCAAAGGTGGGTCCCAAACAGAGGAAACCAGGGAAACTGAGGCGCGTCGATCAACAACCCTTCACTTGCAGACCGTAGTACCTAGTAGTAGCTACCCCTTAAGTAGATTATGTAGCCAAAGAGAGTCCCCGGTATACTTTGTGAAGGGGAGTATGAGAGTTGGGGCTCTAGGCATCTGCAAAGACCATACGGATGCCCCAAAAGGGACCAGAGTTCGGAGCACTCACCATATGGAGGAGAAGGAGGTAGAGATGCACAACGGGCTTCCATACTGTCCCTAAACCCTAAACCCTAAGCTCTAAATCCTAAACCCTAAACCCTAAGCCCTAAACCCTAAACCCTAAACCCTAAACCCTAAACCCTAAACCCTAAACCCTAAACCCTAAACCCTAAACCCTAAACCCTAAACCCTAAACCCTAAACCCTAAACCCTAACTGAGGTGACGTTTCCTTCATCTACCCAATCTCGCCTTCGACCAGCATGGGTGAGACCATGGACAAGTTCGCCACGTGCCTGAGCCGGAATAGAGCGGCTCCCCAGAACTACGATTTTTTGCTTAAGAACCACCGAAACACTAAACATATTCTTCCTTATAATAAGGGCAAAAATATGGAGATTCTTATTCTTCGTCTTATTATTATTGATTTTTGGGGTTTCTTAAGCAAGTAGTAGATAAGGCGCGCGTCTCTGCTTTCTTTTTCGGGCTCTTTGCCCCACCTGGCCTCAATCGGCTGACACCCAGAGGGTCCACCTTTAGTAGCATGGTTTGAAAAAAGTTGGTTTCTGGGGGGTTAGAGGGATGCCTACAATTTCCATAGTGGTATTAACAGTGGGTGCCCTTTAGGAAAGGATGCTGGAGGGCAATGCCGAGTGCTTCAGCCGACTTAAAACCCTCAAGGCCATACGGGCCCTCAGCCCTTCACCTAACCCAGGTCTTCCACCCCCCGCCCCCTGCCCTGAACTCTCTAAACCATGGGACGCAAGTTTCGAGGTTTGTATACGTACATCAAAACAGCCTGACAGGATCCAACCACAAAAAGCCCGAAGCATGCCCTGCATAAGCCCCAAAACCCGAAGCCCCTAAACCCTGAACCCTAAACCCTAGATTCTAAACCCTAAGCCCTGAACCCTAAACCCTAGATTCTAAGCCCTAAGCCCGAAATCCTAAATCCTAATTACACCCCAAGCCCAGGCAAGGCCGCAAGAACGTGTTCGGACAGACTGTGAAGGTGCATGTCCCTGAAGTCCTCAATCTCCTACAGAACAAAAAGCCTAATGGCGGAGTTTCGGGCTTTTAGGGCTTAGGGCTTCGGGCTTCGGGCTTCGGGCTTCGGGCTTTGGGCTTTGGGCTTTGGGCTTAGGGCTTACGGGCTTACGGGCTTACGAGCTTAGGGCTTAGGGTTTAGGGCTTAGGATTTCAGATTTAAGGCTTCTGTGAAGTGCTTGTTCGTGCTCAGGGTTCAGGGCTTGAGGTCTCGGCTGCGATGCGAAATCCAAGAATTCAGAAGAGGCACCCGAGCCCTAACGCAAAAAGGCCCTAACCTCGCCTCTGTTAACAAGAGCCTCAAATCCCAAGCCCCCCCCTCCCCGAATCCCCGGCCCAACAGCTCCCCTAAACCCCCTAAACCCCCTAAACCCCCTGAACCCCCTAAACCCCCCTAAACCCCCTAAATCCCCTAAACCCCCCTAAACCCCCTCAACCCCCTAAACCCCCCTGAACCCCCTAAACCCCCTAAACCCCCTAAACCCCCTAAACCCCTTAAACCCTAAAGCCCGAAAACCTTGGAGGTGAAGCAGATGCAGTCGGAGTTGGGGTCCGTGTCTGGACGCGCATTAGGGGAGGAGGTAGGGGGGGGCAGGGGGTGAGTCTAGGGTTTAGGGTTTCGGGTTTCGGGTTTAGGGTTTCGGGTTTAGGGTCTCGGGTTTAGGTTTGAGGGTTTCGGATTTAGGTTTTAGGGTTTCGGGTTTCAGGTTTCGGGTTTAGGGGGAGGTCGTGCCCATGCCTGTCCGCTGCCGGACACCTGTGGGCTAGGGGTGGGGGGAGGGGGGGGTACTCATGAGTATTTTCCCTATTCGAAGTGCATCTAGGTTATTGAACTCGTCCGTGTTCGTCTCGCCCCCCCCCCCCCCCCCCCCACCGTCAGACCCCCCCCCCCCCCCCCCCCCCCCCCAAAAAAAAATCCCACCACTACAGGAGCGTTTACGCATCGATCCTTCAGGAAGCCTGCATCGCACACTGAGCCACCCTCAAGACAAGACCAATGTACCTTTGCTGCCTTAACTGCGAGTATATTTCCGTAAGGGTAAACATGTTTGCTCTAGGTAAAGGCGACACTCCATGAATGAGCTTCATAACCAGGTGCCTCAGCATCAAAGTGTCGGGTATGCGGCTTAAGGCTTTTTGGTGTGTATCGGGGCCGTATCCTTGCACCCTGAACCCTAAACCCCAAAGCCTACAACTCTAAACCCTAAACCCTAAACCCTAAACCCTAAACCCTAAACCCTAAACCCTAAACCCTAAACCCTAAACCCTAAACCCTAAACCCTAAACCCCAAGCCCGAGGCGGGAGCTTTACATGGTGCATTGTCCGGCGGCGCCTTGTGCACGCCCCTGGGACGAAGGGAGCATCCGACACCGAGGGCTTTCGGGTGCCAGGGCTTAGGGGGGTTGGGGGTTTAGGGTATAGGGTTTAGGGTTTAGGCCTAGGGGGTTTTAGGTTCGGGTTGAGGGGGTTTCGGTTTCAGGCTTAGTGGGGTCTGGGGCTTTTTGGGTGGAGGTTTAGGGCTCTGGTGTGTTGGCCGTTTGGGCGTCTACAGCCTGCTTGGCATGTTCTGGCCCGCAAGCCTTAAGCCCTAAACCCTAAGAGGCGACTTCAGTTTCCAGATCTCCCAATGGTCCCTGTTGCCATAAGCCCTAAACTTAAACCCTAAAACTAAACCCCAAATCCTAAACCAAATCCCCGTTAAACCCAAGTCTAACCCCAAACCCTAAACCCCAAATCCTAAGCCCCAAAACCTAAACCCTAAACCCTTAAACCCTAAACCCTAAACCCCAAATCCTAAACCCTAAACCCTTAACCCTTGAACCCCAAATCCTAAGCCCCAAACCCCGGACTTCTTCGTTTGCTGAGGACGTTTACCGCTTCACAGGGACTTCTCCTCATGATTCCGAACATGCTCCTTCGGCCGCAAGTTGAGGGTTTTTTGGGAGGGTTTAGGGTTTAGGGTTTAGGGTTTAGGGTTTAGGGTTTAGGGTTTAGGGTTTAGGGTTTAGGGTTTAGGGTTTAGGGTTTAGGGTTTAGGGAGTTTTTAAATTGTAAAAGGCTTTTCGGGTTTAGGGTTTCCGGTTTTTAGTTTTGGGGTTTCGGGCTTGTAAGGCATTATAGGGCTCATAGAGTTTAGGGGTTGTGTAGGGTTCACAGGGATCCTAAGGTCCAGAGAGCGTATTTCGTTAGCCCGACACACCCAAAGCCCAAACCCCTTGCGAGGTACCTCTGCGCTGGGGAGTTGCTCCCGGCAGTCTTCCATGTCTCCGCCCGCGCGTTGGCGCGCCAATCCCTGCCGCGGCATCCGCATTTTGGGTGTGTGCATGTATGTGTGTGTGTGTGTGCGTGTTTCAGAATTAAGGATCTCTTTACACCCCTTGCAACGAAGTCAAGAAGCTAAAGGTCATGGGTAGTTGGGGGTTCGGGTTCATCAGTGGCGTCATTGGCCATCTGTTTTCATCATCCCTCCCCCCTCCCCAGCAGGCCCATATAGCAAATACGTTCGCTTAAAGGGACCCATGTAAATGCTTTGTAATCCCCCAAATCCCTGAACACCTAAACCCTGGAATCACCCTCTACTCTCACCGCAAAAGAAACCTAATTACAGACCTCGAATAACCCAACAGCAAGGGATTTGTGAGGTGAAGTTTCTCAAGACGGTGACCCTTAGCCTGAAACCATGTTTAGATCAGAGTTTATACCCCAAACAATAAACCCTACAACCACCCCAGAAGGCATCAAGGCTTTGCCGCGCAGGTCCATCTTCTGCGATCACTCCGACGTGATGGCGGATCTTCGGTGGCATTGGGCTTTATGCGGTTTGGAGGGTCAAGGGCCTGCTGCGATGGAATGCCCCACCCTAAACCCCGAACCCTAAACCCTGAACCGCCCTAAACCCTAAACCCCGAACCCTAAACCCTAAACCCTAAACCCTAACCCTAAACCCTAAACCCTAAACCCTAAACCCTAAACCCTAAACCCTGGCCTGTGTCTACATCGAGCCTGGCTCTCGAGATCCATCCAAGAGTCTCCCCAAGCCACCTTTTGGCTCCCAGACTCCCGTGTAGCACCAGCGAACCCTAAACTCCTGGGCTCAAATCTGCCGACCATAGGGTTTACGGTTTAGGGTTAGGGTTTCGGGTTTAGGGTTTAGGGTTTCGGGTTTAGGGTTTAGGGTTTTGGGTTTTGGGTTTTGGGTTTCGGCGCCCACAACAAGCCTCAAGGAAGAGTGTGGCGTCGAGCTTTGCGGTCGGCTTGCGAGCCCTTCTCAAGCTTGCTAAGCTTCCCTGAGCCCAATAAGTCCTACAATGAACCCTGAAGTCTAAACTCTAAACCCTAAACCCCTAAACCCTAAATTCTAAACCCTAAACCCTAAATTCTAAACCCTAAACCTGGAAAAGTTGCCTCGCAGCAGCTCGGGAATTTTGCTGCATTTAACTCTTAAACCCTACACGCTCGCGCCACGCCTGTGGAGTCCGGTGGAGACTCTGCCAAGGTTCGATCGACTGGCTGTGCCCTGCTCAGCGCACACAATCCGCAGGAGGCTGGCACGGGCTCACAGCAAAGCCGGTCGAGGCGTTTAGGGTTTAGGGTTTAGGGTTTAGGGTTTAGGGTTTATTGCCTGAGAGGGACAAGGGCTGTTTTTGAGGCTTGAGGGTTAGGGGACAGAGGATGTAGTAGATTAATTCAGCATCATACATACAGGCCAAGTTTTTCAAAGGAATTCTTTTTCAGTTCTAGACAGAAGGGTCTTGGCCCCCTAGACCCTCAAACCACCCCAACATTGCCCCGCACCCTTAGACACGAAATTTTCCCGAAACCCTGAACACAAACCGCAAACCCTGAACCTTACCCCAAACCCCCAAACCCCCCAACCCCAGACGCAAAACCACAAGCCCAAAAACCCTAAGCCCTAAACCCTTCCCCTTCAAAATCCCCAACCCCTCGAACCCTAGACCCGAAACCCCTCTAACCCAAGCCCTAAACGCTTCTAACCCTAAACCCCTAAACCCCCCTCTGCGCCTGAAGACCTAGAAGAGAACCAAACCCTAAACCCTTCTAACCCTAAACCCTAAAACCTGCTAACCCTAAACCCTAAACCCTGCTAACCCTAAACCCTAAACCCCTCTAGCCCTAAACCCTAAACCCTGAAATCCCTGGAAGAGGTCTAACCCTAAGCCCTAAACCTTCTACCCTAAACGCCTCTAACCCTAAACCCAAACCCTAAACCCTAAACCCTAAACCCTAAACCCTAAACCCTAAACCCTAAACCCTAAACCCTAAACCCTAAACCCTAAACCCTAGCCCTAAACCCTAAACCCCGAAAATCCCCCAGAAGAGGTCATGGACCTCGGCTTGGTCGCACACCTCGCATCGCTTCGGAGCTCGGTGCCCTTCGTCCACTTCTTCGACGGCACGCGCCCCCGCCGAGCTTTAGGGTTTAGGGTTTAGGGTTTAGGGTTTAGGGTTTAGGGTTTAGGGTTTAGGGTTTAGGGTTTAGGGCTAGAAGGATGTAGGCTTTCGGGTTTAGGGCAAGAGGGATTTATGGATTAGGGTTTAGGGCTAGAGGGATTTGGGGGCTAGAGTTTAGGGCTTAGGGCTTGAGGAGTTTAGGGTTTAGGGCTAAAGGGGTTCAGGGTTAGGGCTAGAGGGGTTTAGGGTTACACATGTTTAGGGTTGGAGGGCTCTGGGGTTTAGGGTTAGAGGGTTTGTCGTTAAGGGTTCGAGTGGTTTAGGGTTTAGGTTTAGACTGGTAAAGGGTTTAGGGTTTCTAGGGGTTGTGGTCTTAGGCTTAGAGGGGTTCGGGATTCAGGGTTAATTAGAGGGGTTTGGGGTTTAGGGGGATTTGGGGTTTGGGTTTTTGTACAAGTGGTCATTGGGCAAAAACCTCCAACCCTTCGCCTCTATAAACCCCAGACATTTAATGACCCTGAACCCTAAACCCCAAACCCCAAACCCCAAACCCCAAACCCTAAACCCTAAACCCTAAAGCCTAAACCCTCCTTCTGAAGGCGCACCTCCGGCGTCATCGAGTGCGTCAAGCCAATCCCCTACAGCACCATGAAGACGCCTGCCTTCAGTGCGAGGTTTAGGGGCTTTCTAAGCCCTGGCAGCCCCTAAACCCCTCTCAACCCTTAAGCACCTGAACCCCAAACATCTGAACCCTAAACCCTAAACCCTAAACCCTAAACCCTAAACCCTAAACCCTAAACCCCTCAACTCCTATATCCCTGAACCCTAAACCCATAGAAGGCTTTAGGCTTCAGGTTTTTTTTGGTTGACCGTCAGAGCCTCTGTCACTGTTCGCAGGTCGCTGGGTTTCAACATGAGGGTTAGTTTAGGGTTTATAGGGTTTAGGGAAAAGATCCCAAGTTCGTGAAATCCATGCAACCCCGGTAAGAAAAGTAACTACACCTAGTAAACAAAATCAATCATACATGAACAAGCACAAAAAACGTACTTTGTAATTTCAACATATAGAAAGGTTAATCAGCAAATGCAATACACCCTAGGCAGTAAACCCCAAACCCCAGACCCCAAGCCCCCAAAACCCAAACCCCAAGCCCGAAACCCCAAACCCCAAACCCCAAAGCCCAAACCCTAAACCCTAAACCTTCTTAGGAGCATCGTCCCCTGGGACGAGTTGGACGCCTTCCGCCAGCGCGGGCTGATCTTTGGCTTTCGCCCAGAACGTCTTGGTTTCCAAATTTGGGGATTTACGAAAATGTGGGCTTTAGGGTTTAGGGTTTAGGGTTTACGAGTCCTTTTTTATAAGGGGGTCTATTTCAGGGGTCTCCCTATTTTCGTCAACCTCCATCGCAGGGGACCCCAGATATAGACACCCAAAGAGTAGGATTCCCCTATAATTATATAGACCCCTCATAAGGTACTCCAAATTTCGGAACCTGTCCCATTTTTCGGATGATCCTGAACTCTAAACCCAGACCCAATGTGTTCAAATTCAGCGTGATCGCATGCACTGGGGGCGGCCTGGGTTGTTGGGAGCATTGCGGCCCGGTTCGGTGCTTGAATTGCTACTAGTTCTAGGCATAGTTCGGTAATGACCGAATGCGATCCCTGTGAAGAGCAGCTTGTAAGTTTAAACCCACTTTTCACTAAGTGGAGATGCAACGGGGAACCAGTACGCTTGTACCCCAAAGAATTCAAAAAATCGAACATCCCTCAAATCAAGGGTTCCAGGGTTTTATTGGCTTTAGGTGTTAGGGGCCTGAGGGTTCGGTCAGGATCTAAGGAACATTCAGTAAGTCAGGGAGCTTGGAAGTACAAGGTTGTTCCTCGCCAGGATGTTCAGATTCTTCCCTTTCCTACTCTTCTTGCAGGTGTGGCCACTATGATCATGCCTTCGGGCCTCAAACCCTAAACCCTAAGCCCTAAACCCTAAACCCTAAACCCCAAACCCCAAACCCGAAACCCTAAACCCTAAACCCTAAACCTCCTTTTGGGGTCGAACTTGGGCATCCACCCAGGAACCCGCAGCATCCGATCATGCGCGGCCTCGGGCAAGATCCGCACCCTGGCCGATAGGGGCCTTTTTAATTAGGGTTTAGGGTTTAGGGTTTAGGGTTTAGGGTTTAGGGTTTAGGGTTTAGGGTTTAGGGTTTAGGGTTTAGGGTTTAGGGTGTGGGGTTTAGGGTTTAGGGTTTAGGGTTTAGGGTTTAGGGTTTTAGGGTTTTAGGGTTTTAGGGTTTAGGGTTTAGATCTTTGGGCTTTAGAGTTTTGGGGTCACCGAAGCTTTTGGGTTTTATGGTTTAGGGTTTCAGGGGTTTAGGGTTTAGGGGTCGGGGGATTCAGGGCTTTTGGGGTTTAGGGTGTAGGAGTTTAGGGGTTTAGGGGGTAGGGGTTTAGGGGTTCAGGGGCTTGGACTCCCAATTGTAGTTACCTTTGGGGGCTTAACACTTAGGGTTCAGAGTTTAAGGGTCTGGATTCAGGATTTAGGGCAGAACGCCTCCCAATCGTAGTTCGCTTTTGCTGAAAAAGGTACTCTTGATGATCGATGTATGAACCTTCCCAATGTTATGAGCGTTCTTGTTTTCTGGCTCGTGTTAGCGGAGCTTGCAATCCTCATTGCTATTCCTATGTTTGTCTATTGTGCTCACTCCTGCTGGTTGCAATTCTTCTGCTTTTTATGGTGCTGTGGGCATGGGCTTGAGGGTTTAGGGCTTGGGGCTTTCTAGGATTCTAGGGTTACGCTACACCCTAAACCCCTAAAGGTTGGGTCTCTTGCGTTTTAGGGGACGCCACTACATAGCGCGATCCCTCTCGCCAAGCCCTCAACTGGGTTTAGAGGTTTTAGGCTTTAGGGTTTAGGGTTTTTTTAGGGTTTTAAGGTTTTAGAGGTTTTGGAGGTTCTCGAGGTTTTAGAGGCTGTAGAGATTTTAGAGGTTTGTTTATGTTGGGTTTTGAGTCGTAAAACTTTAGGGCTTTAGGGTTTTAGGGCTTGAGGGAATAAGGCAGAAGGATCGGCGGAATCATACCCCAAAGCAACCCCCTGGTGCCGAAGCCGTGGCACCTAAACCCTGCCAATCCGGGCCCTGTAGCCCTAAGCCCTAAACCCTAAACCCTAAACCCTAAACCCTAAACCCTAAACCCTAAACCTTAAACCCTAAACCCTAAACCCTAAACCCTAAACCCTAAACCCTAAACTAAACCCTAAACCCCAAATCCTAAACCCTACCCCCTAAACCCTAAACCCCAAATCCTAAACCCTACCCCCTAAACCGGGCAGCCGCCGAAGTCCGCGAGGCAGACCTACTACCAGTCTGCGGTGTCTGCCAACAGGCGCCCTTCAGGTCTTAGGGCCTTGTTGGGGTTTAGGGTTTAGGGTTTAGGGTTTGGGGTTTAGCGGATGAAGCTTCGAGGGGCAGGTTTCTTCACTTCCTTTTTTGGTTCATGAAGGGACTTTTACCTCACGATAGTAATGTAGGGCGTATCCTAAGTATGAGGCCCTAAACCCTAAACCCTAAACGCTAAACCCTAAACCCTAAACCTTTTTTGGGCTGGGTAGTGCCACGCATTGCCGAAGACAGTCCTGCCTGAGCCCCGTTGTCCTGCCGGAAGGGGGAAATCGACTGCGACTTTTTCGCAGACCAACCGAAGTTGGCTGATATCGTGTCCGCAAAGTTCCTTAGAGGAACTCATGACACAAATCGATGGCGTTGCCTGGGCTCGCAGACTGCGGCCATGACGACTCTTGTTCCCCCCCGCCCCTGGGCGGGAGCGTCTGCGGCCAAGCGGAAGGCTCGCGAAGAATTGAGTGGACTTCCCTCGCATGCAGAAGAAGCTGAAGCAAGCCAAGCTCGAACTCCCGGCGAGTACGGCCAGTATGCTTTGTCGAACAACCCAAACCCTGCACCCTCCGAAAGGGCCGAACCCTCAACCTGAGTCTTGCTGAGGCGGAGCTGAGTTGGGGACCGCTTTTAGCTTTCGGGTTTAAGGTTAAGTTAAGACAAGGAACAGACTCTTACACCCCTAAACCCGAATACACCCTGAACTTTGAACCCTAAACCCCAAACCCCAAACCCGACGGCTTGGACACAACACAACAAACCCCAGAACCACCCACCACTGCAGTTTAGGGGTTTACAGGTCCATGGGCGCTTCTCCTTCCTTCCTTCCTTCCTTCCCTCCCTTCCTTCCTAGCCCCCTAAACCTGGAACCCCCGTCAAAAAAGTGTATATAAAGGCCCGGCAGGGACTGAAGAGCTGCTTGCCTAGGATCGAGGTACGAATTAATTCCGGAAGAATACCGTATTATTTGCTAGGGGCTATGCTTTATTTAGACTTGGTAGCCCATGTCCTCAAACCCTCGACCCCTAACCCCTTCAAACCGCTCAATTCCAAAGCCCAAACAAACCTTGTGTTTTGAAGCACCTCCGCTCTCAAGTCCTGACAGTAAACCCTGAAAACCCTGATTAATTTGGATCAAGCGTGATTGTTCGGGATTGTGCCGGAGAGTTTCTAGTCCAGTAACCATCCAAAAGTGACACACGATAATCCTTCCTAGTGCGAAATATTCATCCACCTAGAACCTCAACCCTAAACCCTACACCCTACCCCCTAAACCCTAAACCCTGGCAGGTACTACGATGCCGTCCCCGGCATTGTTCAGGCCGCGCTTGAGACACGGACATGCTTCTAGACCCTGCTATATCCCCCTTGGGAATTATTTTATATTTTTGGTTATATAAAATCCAAGAGGATAGTAAACATATTTGTTTTAAAGGTTCTAAGGGGAGTATAGCCTGAAGTGCCCACATCAAGGGACTGTGAAACTATGCTAAGAGGAGGCGGTTGCGAAAATAAGGGTACCCGTTTTTGATGGGGTCCTTATTTAGAGGAGTATGAATAATTCGATATTTCGGAGTATGCTGGGGTACCCCTACCTTGGGAAATACCCTTGATATCGGGGACGGAATAATTACAAAAACAATATTCCTCTATGGTTCCTGTGTAACTCCACTACAATGACCCCCAAAAACCCTATTGTAATCATTAACCAAGGCCCGTATGGTATACCTGTTTTTATACAAGCCTCAGTTCCTAGAAGCTTAAACACCATGCACTCGAAACGCGAAAATCCGACTAGCCACCCGCCCCGGCACCATAGACTGGATGGAATGGCCGGTCACTACATTTGGCTTGCTCAATCAACCCTACGAACCATAGACCACCCTACATACCACACCCTATAACTACCCTCAGCCCTTAACCCTAAACCCTAGACCCTAAACCCTAAGCCCTAAACCCTAAACCCTAACCCTATATAGAAAAACCTCTAAACCCTGCAAGCCCTGAAAACCCCCAAAGCCCCGGGCAGGACGTGATGGAAACCCTAAACCCCAAACCCTAAACCCTAAACCCCAAACCTGGGCAGGACGTGATGGACCAAGTTGGCGTGATCACCGGCCGCCAGTACAAGCTCTTCGAGTACTACGGCGATCCCCAGGCTCCTTTAGGGTTTAAGGTTTAGGGTTTAGGGTTTAGGGTTTAGGGTTTAGGGTGGCTGCGGAACTTCGGGAACTACCACAAACCCAACAGGTCCTCATACGTCACTCGCTTCTGCATGGACATATGCATGTTCATTGCCAGATATGTTTATGTTATGCATGGTCAGAGGTACCTATATGTTACATGTTTGGTTGTCATAGTTGGTTTTTCTATTTCTGTGTATGTGTCTGCTTCTATCTCTCTTTCTCCCCTCTCTTTCTCTCACTCTCTTCGCTCGCTCTGGCTCTCTCTCTCTCTCTCTCTGTCTCGCCGCCGCTCTGTCTCTCTCTCTCTCTCTCTCTCGCACTTTCTTTCTCTAATGTGCTCTCTCTCGCTCTCTTCATGGTCTCCTCTCTCTCTCTCTTCCTCTCTCTCTCTCTCTCTCCCTCTCTCCCTCCCTCTCTCTCTCTCTCTCTTCTCCCTCTCTCTCTCTCTCACTCTCTCACTCTCTCACTCTCTCACTCTCTCACTCTCTCACTCTCTCACTCTCTCTCACTCGCCTCCCTCGCATTCTCTCCCTCTCTCTCTCTCTGTCTTCTCTTTCGCGCTGTCAGTCTCGCTGCATCCCACAAAGAGTATTCGAAATGAACGAGACAGTTGCCATGGGGCTCAATATTTTCCCAACCAGGCCTGCCACTGAAGCACCACAGTCTCAGTGGTCAACCTCCACTTGGGATATGTTTAGGGTTTAGGGTTTAGGGTTTTTTGTACCCTAAATTCAGAGTCTCCCTGCCGCACTGCAGGAAGTCCCGGGGGGACCATGAATGATCTTCCCCCTTGTCTTGGGTTATCAAGAGACGCATCTTGCAAGATGTCCCCTCTAACCCAAGAAAGGGGGAGTATGATTCACAGGAGTCTTTGACAGAGTTTAGAAGGGCCAGCGTGACAGCATACATGAATATGGGCAGTTCTTAAACGAGTGGTCCAGTTTATTGGGTCCGCTTAACATAGGGCTTCGTATCTTCAGTACAAACCCTCCAACAGAAGCCTTAAGGTAGAGAGACCCCGTAAACTCCCTAGTTTAGGGTTTAGGGTTTAGGGTTTAGGGTTTAGGGTTTAGGGTTTCTGAACCGCTACACGTCCCTACGTTTCTGGTCGAAACAACCCTGAACGCTAACCCTAAGCCCCTTTGGCTGAAAGGCGGAGCGATGCGTCGTCATCATGGGCTCAGCAGCAAAGACCGCGGAGGACTTGGAAGCATAGGGTTTAGGGTTTCGGGTTTAGGGTTTAGGGTATTTTATAGGGGTATATATTCGGGGTTCTTATTGGGGTATCTAGGGGCAATATTAAGGTATATGGGGAACAGATAAAGAGGCCACCGGCCTTTATAACGTAGACCCGCTTAGGGCGTGGCCTAGCTAGGGCTTCGGGTTGGCGTTCAGCTCAAGGTTATAAAGTTCGGGGTTTAGGGTTTCGGGTTTAGGGTTTAGGGTTTCGGGAATTTAGGGTGAAGGTTTGCCAGTTAGCAGGAGCGAGCCCTTGTAAGGCCACAATCATCAGAGGACGTGCCTAGAATCAACCGCAGCTGCCCAGAACGCCCCAGCCTTGAAGACCCTGCTTGGAGGTTCAGAGTACTTATAACCCCAATCAGAACTGTAATTCTAAGCCCCCTAATTTCCTCCCTAAGTCCCCTAAGTCCCCTAAGTAGGTTACAAGTAGACTTAGAACTGGGGTTATAAGCGCCCATGAACCTCCCAAGTGAAGCAGGAGACGGTCGACTACCTGCGCGCTCAGGGTGAGAAGGCCTTGGAACCCAGCATTTCTTAGGGTTTTTTATAGGGTTTAGGGTTTAGGGTTTAGGGTCTAGGGTTTAGGGTTTAGGGTTTGGGTTTCCAGAAGCGCACGGGTTTTTTTCAGGTATCAGGGTCTCAGGGTGGGCTTAAGTGGGGTGTAGGACCCGAACCCTAAACCCCAAACCCTTTGTAAGTTGTGCACAACAGGGGCTTTGGGGGTTGTGAGGCAAAACCCTCAACCCTCAGCCCTAAACCCTAAACCCTGAGCCCAAAAGCCATAAAGCCCTAAAGCCCTAAAGCCCTGAAGCATCCTGAGCCGAGGTCGGGATTTTGAAGGTTCGCCTTTTCCGCCCCTTCTCCACGGAGCACTTTCTGGCCGAAATGCCAGAATCGGCGCCGAAGCAGCACTACTTGACTGCGCCCTAAGCCCTGAAGCAAGCCCTTAAAAGCGCAGCCCTAAAACCAACCCCCCCCCCCCCCCCCCCCGCCCAAACCAAACTTTCGTAGCCTAAGTTGCCAGCCTAAGTCGCCTAAACCCCCCTAAGTCGCTAGACCACACATCGTTTAAACGCACCTTGGGGTTGAGGCATACATACATACATACATACATACATACATACAGATTGCTATATGCGTCGTAGTTTACGCGTATTTAACAATAAACTTTTCTTACCAGTTTCCCCCACCCCCCCCCCCCACCCCCCCACCCCAGACGGGTTCATGTATTTGTATACTGGAGACCGGGACATGACAACAACACCTTATCGCGATAACGATGTTGCGGGGGGGCCTCGGCACTTTAGGGTTGAGGGGTTTAGGGTTCAGGGTTCAGGGTTTAGGGCGTGGACGCAGCAGTTTGCTTGCGCCGACCGTTGAAACCCTAAACCCTAAGCCCTAAACCCTAAACCCTAAGCCCTAAACCCTAAACCCTACTTTGGGATTGTTGGTGGCTGGCTATCAGCTTAAGGGTGTACCTGGGAGACTCAAGGTTCGATGCAGTGATAGTGATGGCAACAGTAACTTAAGAACCGAAAGCCTACGTTTTTGTCGGTTGCCTACCCTAAACCCTAAACCCTAAACCCTAAACCCTAAACCCTAAACCCTAAACCCTAAACCCTAAACCCTAAACCCTAAGCCCTAAGCCCTAAGCCCTAAGCCCGAAGCCCTAAGCCCAAAGCCAACCCTAAGCCCTAAGCCCAAAACCCTAAGCCCTAAACCCACGAATTCTATAGAGGTTGTATCGTCATCCCCGACAGGAGTTCAGGGTAAAAAAGGGTCCGGCCATTTATGGTCATGGAGATCCCCTCCGCCCTAAACCCTAAAACCACCCTAAACTCTCAACCTAAACCCTAAAGCCTAGCCCTAGACCCTAAATCCTAAATCCGAAACCCTAAGCCCCAACCTAAACCCTGAACCCTAAATCCTAGCCCTAAACCCTAATTCTCTACACCCTACACCCCCCCCCCCCCCCCCCAGGTGCAGGCGATTGCCGTGCTGGACCGCACCAAGGAGACTCAAGCCCTGAGCAACCCACCCAATACTTGGCATTTCCCTAAACCCTATTAAGGGTTTCAGGGTTTTAGGGTTGTAGGGTATTAAGGTTGCAGGATTTAGGGTTTGGATTGTGGCTGCTGTGCGGCTGAAGACAGCTCTCGCTCAAGTCGCCGTGACAATTCTCACTGTTTCGGGTCGGTGGTTTCACCCACAAGGCCTCACCAGAAGCAAACCGAAACTCCACAGCAACACGCCTCACTCACAACTCCTTACCTATATAAACCCTAGACCCTAAACCCTACACCCTAAACCCTAAACCCTAAACCCTAAACCCTAAACCCTAAACCCTAAACCCTAAACCCTAAACCCTAAACCCTAAACCTTACTCTCGTCCCGGGACATGTGCAAACAGACGCCGCAAGACAGCCTCGTACACCCAAAGCCAAGCCTTCGGAGCTGTACCCTAAAGAAGCCCTAGGCACCCACCTTTGGAGTAGACCCTGGAAAAAACGTATATACTTTAGGTATAAGTAGCTATAAGAGGAACCCAGAACGCAAAAAAGTATTAAAGTATAGTACTCCAAAACCCAGGAGTAAAGTCCCCAAACCCTAAACCCAAAACCCTAAACTCCCTAGGCCCTTAACCCAAAACCCCAAACCCCAAAACCCAAATGGTTTAGGGTTTAGGGTTTAGGGTTTAGGGTTTAGGGTTTAGGGTTTAGGGTTTAGGGCTTTGAACCGCAAGCTCATGGGATTCTACCTCGGACCCCTAAGGTTGCACCCTTGGGTCTGGGGACCCTTTTTCAAGATCCTCAATATTAGCCCTAAACCCTAAACCCTAAACCCTAAACCCTAAAGGGCCATATTCGGAGTAAATTAACGGAACCTCCTCGCTTCCCATCCTTAAGGGTCCGAGTACCCCCTTGACAAGCCCAAACACATGCTCAAAGCCCTAAACCCTAAACCCTAAACCCTAAACCCTAAACCCTAAACCCTAAACCCTAAACCCTAAACCGTAAGCCAAACATGCTCAAAGCCGGGTGCTTCGGAGGAAGACCTGGCTCCGTCGCTGCCGCTCCACGCGGATGTTCTGACGGCCATGAGTGAGGCGGTTTGAGGTTTAGGGTTTGGGGTTTGGGGTTTAGGGTTTTAGGGTTTTAGGGTTTAGGGTTTGGGGTTTAGGGTTCAGGGTTTAGGGTTTAGGGTTTGGGGTTTAGGGTTCAGGGTTTGGGGTTTAGGGTTCAGGGTTTGGGGTTTAGGGTTCAGGGTTTGGGGTTTAGGGTTCAGGGTTTACAGGGTTTAGGGTTCAGGTTTTGCAGGGTTTAGGGTTTATAAGGTTTGTAGGGTTTATCGGGTTTACAGGGCTTATAGGGACTATGGGGTTGCAAGGGTTTATAGGATTTCTAGGGTTAAAAGGGTTTATAGAGTTTAGGATTTAGGGCTTAGGGGCCACAATAAGGCTATATAAAGTTTGCTTATAGGGATCAAAAAGGACAGAACATAGGCGGCCTTTTGAAGAGGACAGAACAAAGGTAGCCTCGCAAGAAATGTGACCTCTGGGATTCTGGGATGGGTACGGAACCCGTGTTTTTTTTGTTGTGGGTGCTGTTTTGCTGTGGGTGCTTTTTTCGGGGAGTGACCTGGCTAGTGTCGCCCCGCACCCGCAGCAAAAACAAAAACGCGCCCCCGCACCCGCAGCAAAAAAAAATGCGCCCCCCTCCCCCCCCCTTCCTCCCGACCCCCCAGGTCATTTGTTTGCAATTTCCTCCCCAACCCCGCCCCTCCCCCCCCACCCCAAACCCCGCCCCTCCCCCCCCCCAACCCCAACAGCCCCCCCTTTTCTTAATAAACTGTGCAAGCGTTTTCAAAGCACTGAATCCTGCCCAGCCTATCATGCGAGCATTGGGTTTGCAAATGGGGGGGGGGGGGGGCTGCGCCCCCCCCCAACCCCTCCGCTTCTTAAAGCCATGCCAGCAAGGCAAATGAATCCTCCGCTTTTTTTAGCCGGCAAGCCTGCTTCAAAGCTTACGAATCCCTTCCAAACCCATGATGCAAGCATTGCGTTTTCAAATGCGGGGGTTTGCGCAGCCCCCAACCGCCTGAAAAGAGATGGAATATATGCTTGCTTTCCTACGAAAATTCAGACCTTATATAGTGGAAGTGGAAGTTGAATTTTCCGATTAAAAATCGAGATATACACGTCTTCATAGTAAAGAATCGAGCTTGTGTTCTGAGAATATGACTAGCGTGAGCAAAAACACATGTTGTCTGCGAGTCACAGATAGAGATAATGCATGTACTCTTATGACAATATGGAGAATTCGCTTTTCATGTATTCCTCTCCCATCTCTTCCTCGTGAAATATAGAGAAGAAGTCTGAAAATACTGACCAAATTGCAAACTATAGAACAATAGAGGTTTTCGCTCTAAAATAAACAGAAATTAGATGGTTTCCTATGACAACGTAAAGGAAAAAGAGGTTTTCATACGAGAATATAGCGTGTTCATATTAAGATGTAGAGGTCGTGATATTCAAATATGGAGAAAAGAGGTTTCCAATTAGAATAGCAAGAAAAGAGAGGTTTCATATCAAAAGATGCACAAAAAAAGAGGTTTTCCTGCTAATGTGTAGAGAAAAGAAAGAGGTTTTCATGTTCAAATTTTAAGAAAATGGAGGTTTCCCTATTCAGATACAGAGAAAATGATGGGCTTCCTATTAAAATAGGACAAGAGGAACAAAAACACTTTTAATTGCAAGTCACATATTGGGATGACACAGAGAATTAGTTTCTCATCTATTCCTATCTCATGTCTTACTCAATTAAATATAGAGGAAAACTATGACGATATAGACAAAATAGAGAGAAATAGATGCATGCCTTATAAAATACAGAGAAAAGGTCTTCGTATTCAAGTATAGAAAACAGCAAAAACGCCCCCGCACCCGCAGCAAGACAAAACGCGCCCCCTCACCACACCCGCGGCAAAAGAAAAAAAAAAAAAAACGCCCCCGCACCCGCAGCAAAAAATGTACGCGCCCCCGCACCCGCAGCAAAAAAAATCGCGCCCCGCACCCGCAACAAAAAAACACCCGCAGCAGAAAAAACAAAAACACTCTTACCGGATGGGTACTATATAGGGGCAATAACTAGAATAGGGTTTTGGGAGTTATTACAGGATATTTTATAAAAGGGACCATTGACCATAGGCGAATACTATTAGTAATAATTTTCCGACCCCTATTAGAAGAGGAGCTCAGCGAGTCACAGGAGCCACAACGACAGCTTGATGGCCAAGACGAGGAGTGTACCAACCAAGGAAGCCTCGAACACCGAACAAAAACACTACACTTCCTTGCCAAGGCTGAGCTGAACTTCTCGCTGATCAGGGTCAAGAGGTCCAAATACTTCTGGGTGGCCCTGATCCGGGTCCTTCAGGATCACTTGGCGTAGGCGACCGGGGGCGTTGACGGGCATGGCTCTTCGTCCCGCGGAGTCCAAGACCAAGACCGCGGCGGCAGTTTCTCAGTTGTTATCGCAGTCTTGTGCCTAAACCCTAAACCCTCAACCCTAAACCCTAAACCCTAAACCTAAACCCTAAACCCTAACCCTAAACCCTGGGGGGCAGGAGCTCCTCACGCCATATTGTCGGCCATTTCCATTTCTTGCTTGGCCCTATAGTGGTTGAATTTCATTTCTTGCGAGCCTTGGGCCAAAAAAAGGGGCCGCTTCGCGCATTGTTGTTTTGAGTATAGAGTACGTACTGTTTTTTACGGGAACGTTCTTGTGAAGTTCATCTTTCTCGTTGACGTGTGAAAATGTGTCCTTTGAAGTGGTTCCGGACAGTCAAAGCCAAAAGACTGTCTTTCTACGCAAAACGGGTTTGAGCCCCTAAGCGTTTCAGAGCCCTAAACCCGAAACCCTTTATAAACCCTAAACCCTAAACCCCTTAGTAGTTCTGTGGCTGAGCACCCTTGAGCCCCAGAGCCCTACGGCTAGAGCCGCTACACAGCAGATCAGACCCGGAGGCACACCCTAAACCCCTGAACCCCGGAACCCTAAACCCTAAACCCCAAACCCTAAACCCTAACTTCTGAACAGGCTGGCGTCTACAAAAAAGTAGTGGGCGGCAACTATGGCTTGGGCAGCAAGGAATTCGCCCCCCGTCTGGGGCCTCAGGGGGTTGAGGGGTTCAGGGGCTCGTGCCTTGGATGCTATACCCCTAAACCCTTAACCCCAAACCTGAAACCCTAAACCCCAAACCCCAAACCCTAAGCCCCTAAACCCCAAACCCTAAACCCTTAACCAAGCCCTGTTAAGTCACCGGGGGGGGGGGGGGGGGTGACTTAGGGTGTAGGGGTTCGGGTTAGCGTTTGGGATGCACGGTTTAGGGTCAGGGTTCGGGATTGAGAGTTTAGAGCTTAGGGTTTGAGGTTTTTTTGATCCAGGGTGTAAGGTTTGTATTTTAAGGTTTGTATGGTTCGGAAGTTCGGGCTTTCGAGTCCCTGTCAGTCTGCAGACCGTTACAGTAGGGTTTGGCGTGCTGTAGGGTGTTCGAGGAGGTTTTCTAGATGCCTTGCCTTCCGAACTTCTGGCCCTCCATCTGCACATCTCCACCATCTGAGGCCTAGCACGAAGCCCCAGAGCCCCAGAACTTGGGTTTAGGGTTTAGGGTTTAGGGTTTAGGGTTTAGGGTTTTGTGACGACAGCTCCTGAGCCGATTGGGCAGAAACCCCCTTTGCCTGCACCCAGGGCACGTGAAAGCGGTCTTTGACAACTTGCTGGAGAAGGCCGGTACCTTCTTAGGGTTTAGGGTTTAGGGTTTAGGGTTTAGGGTTTAGGGTTTACCCTAAACCCTAAACCCTAAACCCGAAAGTTACATAAGCCATATGGCGTCGTGAGAGTTTTATTCCGAGTGAAAGCCTACACCCCAAGCTGCCAAGCAGCCCCAACAAAAGCAACCCCGAAACACGATACACCGCCTTGACGACACAGAAGGTTGATCTAGGCTCTGAACACATAGCTACAATACCCACTCCCTCCCTAAGAAGTGCATAACAATGTGTTCTTTCATAATTGAAGTGTTGAAAGACGACGGCGAAAGCGATTGGTTTGGGGTGCAAGGTTTAGTAAGGGTTTATAAGGTTTACAGTGTTTAGGGTTTTTCGGGTTTAGAGTTTTATAAGGTTTAGGGTCTAGGGTAAGGGTTCTTCTTGCATGAAGGTCTTTCTTGGGGCACAGTGGGTGCATGTAAGAAATTCGGGTCCATGAAGAGGGGTGTACTGGCAGCTTCGATTGCAGCATCCGAAGATTGTCCCACATCCCTTAGTTCAGGCATTGTCCCTAACACTAACCCAATAGACCCTAAACCCTAAACCGCAATTTCCCCTAACTTCAACCCTAAACCCTACAAGTCCTAAACCCTGTCGGTGTCTTTATGTTGTATCCCTAAACCCTCAAACCTGTGAACCCCCGGTGCCGAAGGGGCAGCCTAGACCCTACACCCGTCTAAACCCCAATCCGGATTGTTCCTCAATTTGGGCCCTAAAACCTACGAAGCCCCCATAAACCCAGCCCCCAAAACCCTAAACAATGTGAACCCTTCCCAGGTGCCGAAGAGGCACTTCACGGTGGGAATCAACGACGACGTGACCAACTCCAGCTTGACCGTGGGGCCAACGATCAACACGCAAGACGCCGGGGTGACGCAGGCGCGGTTTAGGGTTTATAAGGGCTTAGGGCTTAGGGCTTAGGGTTTAGGGTTTAGGCTAGGGTTTAGGGTTAGGGTTTAGGGTGTAGTTTATTGTTTGGGGTTTAGGCTTTAGGGTTTAGGGTTTAGGGTTCGATTAGAGTACATCAGTTTAGGGGTTAATGCCCCAGAATAAGGCTCCAAGAGCTCTTCTGCGGGATTCTCGTGCCCAAAGGCCATCGCGCATGCTGTAGGTTGTTTGCGGCCACTTTGACTTACTTCTCCAACAGCTGAACTTTAAACTTTTGGGTTTGTTTTAGTAGGAACAATAAAGTCTAACCTGTTTTTTTTCTCTTGGTTATTGGAGAAGTAAGTTGAACTCAGGGTCTTTAGCGGCTTGGGCCGCGTGATCGCAGCCGGGGTCAGGATTCTGGAATCGAAGATATTGCAGCATCGGCTTGCGTTTCAGGGAGGTAGATATTTCAAGCCAAATGTAAGCCTTTATCCTAACCCTAAACCCTAAACCCCAAACCCTAAACCCTTTATCCTAACCCCCATAAACACGCACAACCCGAAGTTCTGTAAGCTCAAGTCAAGTGAAACGGAGCCGTTTTGCCCCGAGCATGTGCATGATAGGGACGCAGGGAAGGAGGCGGTACTTTGCTTCAGCTCCCCCTAAACCCTAAACCCTAAACCCTAAACCCTAAACCCTAAACCCTAAACCCTAAACCCTGAACCCTGAACCCTGAACCCTAAACCCTAAGCTGAACCTCTCAGGGTTGAGATTCAGGCTGGGGCGGAGAATCGTCTTCTTAAGCCGTGAACGAAACCTTGAGACCCGCAACCCTCCGAGTTTGCTTTTTTTAAGGTCGTGGATTGATTATATTGGGTTCAGGGCTCTAAACCCTAAACCCTAAACCCTAAACCCTAAACCCTAAACCCTAAACCCTAAACCCTAAACCCTAAACCCTAAACCCTAAACCCTAAACCGTAGGGATTTGAAGGGCAAGTCATGGTTCGAGGGTTTGCGGTTTAGGGTTTAGGGGTTAGCGCAGGGTATCCAGGTGGTGTCGAACCTTGAGACCAACACGCGAAGCTCCTCTTTAAGGGACTGAAGGAGGGACCTTTTCAGGGACTTTGAGGGGTTATTTGGTGGCTACTTAGGGATCTAGGGACTACATTATCAGGTTTATGGAGGGGTTGTATAGGGGAATGAGATTAAGGGTCCCTTCTAGGGGTCTCTCCTTGTACTTCTTTAAGTACCCCAAACCCTAAACCCTAAACCCTCAACCCTCAACCCTCAACCCTAAGCCCTAAGCCCTAAGCCCTAAGCCCTAAGCCCTAAACCCTAAACCCTAAACCCTAAACCCTAGACCCTACCCTTCTGGGGGTATCTCCTTTTACCCCTTAACCTCTCTGTGAGGCCATCTTCTTCGGCCTCGGATCAGATGGGACGGTTGGCGCCAACAAGGCCTGGCGACCTCCCTCATCCCCCGGCCGAAGAAACGAAGCCCACCGCCTTTTTTTGTTGGGTTCAGGGTTTCGGGTCTAGGGTCTAGGGTTTAGGGCTAGTAGCCCTAAACCCTAGACCCACCGATGTTGCACTGTTGCGCATTTGGGGGGGGGGGGGGGGGGGGGGGAGGGTGTGGGGAGGACAAGGTCTGCTCCCGGACCTTGGTTTGGGATCGTGGGTTTTGAAGCCCTAAACCCTAAACCCTAAACCCTAAACCCTAAACCCCAAGCCCTAAACCCTAAACCCTAAACCCCAAGTCCCCCACCCCCTCCCAACTTGGGACTCGAAGAGGCCCTGTGCCCAATGACCGTATCTTTCGGTCGCAAGGACCGACCCTAAACCCTAAACCCCAAACCCTAAACCCTAAACCCTGAACCCTGTTTAGGGATTAGGGATTAGTGGTTTCGGGGCTTCGGGTTTAGGGGGCTGGGGAATTAGGGTGTTAGGGTGTTAGGGTTAGGGGATTAGGCTTTCGGGTCAAGGGTTTAGGCAGTCGACAGGCTGCCGCACAGATTATCGGCGAGCGCACAGAGTTCTACTCGCAGGCGGCTGCAAATCTTCGGACCTCCCCACTCTTCCACTGCCCGGAACTTGTGTTTAGGGTTGACCGTTAGGGTTCCATGGCTTCAGGGGCTTAAGGATTTAATCTTGGCTTTCTTCTGGCTGGCTCTTAGGACTTCAACTTTTTGATTTTTCTAGAAACTACAATAAGGAGCCTAAAAGTTAAACTTTTTGGAGGGGTTCAGAAGTCAGCCAAGTAATGCTCACCGTGAACCCCTAAAACCTAAACCCTGAACCTCTAGTGTTAGGGGTGTTCAGGCTCCAGATTGGCGGGGCTTAAGGTTGGCTTAGGGTTTGGGGTTTGGGGTTTAGGGTTTAGGGTTTAGGGTTTAGGTTCTAGGGTTTAGGTTCGAGGGTTTAGGGTTTAGGGTTTAGGGTTCGGGGTTCATCAGGGTTCCGGGTTTTGGGGTACGAGGTTGATGCCATGTCCCCAGCCCAGAACATGGCGCCCTTTTGGGGGGCTCAGGGTTGGGGCTTCGGGTTGAGGGGTTCAGGGATTTAGGGGTTCAAGGTTTAGGGTGTAGGGTGCCGTATTATCTGACAGGAACCCGTCAGCCCTCAACCACATAAATCACACCCCTGACTACCCAAGCCCCGAACCCTACTCCTCTTCTTGTTCAGCCTGGACCCATGTCCTGACCCGAAGTTTGGAGGGCTCCCAGACGAAACCCCAATGTACCTTGCTGTCTTGTTGAAAGCGTGCTTGAGGGGTAAACCCTAAACCCTGAACCCTAAACCCTAAGACCCTAAACCCTAAACCCTAAACTAGTATAAGGAGGAAGATCAGTCTCAGGTTGTTGGGTTTTGGGGTTTTGGCCTGCTGCCCCTGCGCTTGAAGTCACGGCATCCCGCCTGCCAGGGGCATTTCAACTACTCCTCGCAGAAAGCTGGTGCATCCACTGTCTCCCATCTGCGCCATCTGGCTGAAGCAGCCTTTACAATAAGGTGCAGGGTTTGTACTGGGTTTAGGGTTTAGGGTTCTTGTTGCATTGGTTCTCTCATGAACTCCATTATGCCAAGAAGGGTCTTATTGAAGCTTTGGTTTCGCCTGTCTGCCGATGTATAACTGCCAAGCCTCACAGGCCTGGTGATTGCATCTAGTGCTTCGTGTTCAGGGCTTAGCAAATCACAAACCTTGAACTTGGATTGCTGCAGAGCTTACAGGAGCCCCGAAGAAGCAAAAACACCCGCCTGCAGCCCCTGAAGAAAGGGTTAGGGTTTAGGGTTTAGGGTCTAGGGTCTAGGGTCTAGGGTTTAGGGTCTAGGGTCTAGGGTTTAGGGTTTAGGGTTTAGGGTTTAGGGTTAGGTTTAGAGTTTAGAGTTTAAGGTTTAGGTTTAGGGTTTAGGGGTTAGGGCTAGGGTGTTGGATTTTTAGGGTTTAGGGTTTAGGGTACCCCAAAACAATTTTCCTTGGTTCTTGCAGGCGAGACAGCGTTGCTGTGGCCCCGCGCCCTAAACCACACCAAGTTAGCTTTTGGGTTCATGACAAGGGGGGTGGATTGAGGGATTGAACCTTTAAGCTTCATGGGTTGACATTTCGGCTTAGGGCTTCTTCGTTTCCTTGTCTAAGCCGACCTGCGACAATTCCGTGACCGCTCGTGTGATCTTGGCGGGCTTTTGCTGCAGACCTTGAATCCGAAGCATGGAGACTTAGTAGTAGAGTAGGTAACCTTTAACCTTTTTTGGGTATTCTAATCCCAAATTAATCCCAAAGGCTAACCTTTAATTCACCCATTCTTACTGGACAACTAAGGAGAGAGCTGCAACACGTGTTAGGGCTTGGGAGGGGGGGGGGCGCTCCCGACCCAGAGGGGCCACTTGTAGTACCACTCGCCCAAAAAAATCCATGCTGTGTTTGGCCGTCATCCAACTGTCCAACTCCACAACAGTACTGCAAGTGGCCCCTTCTTAGGAGCTGAGTGGGTAACCTTTTAACCTTTTGGGGTATATGCAAGCTTCGGAGGCTCGTCCCTAACCCTACACAACCCTAAACCCTGAGCGCCAAAGCCCTACATAACCCCAAACCCTACACTGCCCCACACTCCGCCTAAACCCTAAACCCTAAACCCTAAACCCTAAACCCACTGCGACTTATACCGAGGCTTTGGTCCCACTCCCATCCGCAGCGAGTACGAGATCGAATCCAGCCCTGGTGCTGCCACTTGGTTCAACACGTGCGGTGTATAGGGTTTAGGATTTAGGGGTTTATAGGGTTTAGGGTTTAGGGGTCTAGGGTTGAGGGTTTAGGGGTTTGGGTTTAGGGTGCGGTGGTTAGGCTGCCAGTTTGTTTCAAGGTTTTAGGGCGTTTTGGGTCTGAGGGCTTTTCTAGGGTCTACTTAGAATGGCTATTGTGTTGGGTTTCGGGGTTGGGGCTTGAGGGTTTGTTTAGGGTCTGAAGATCTAGCAAGTATCATCTGGGTAGTGTATTGCGTACCCCGAAAAGCCCGTGCTGTGGATCCAGCCCCACATAGCGGATGTTTCTTGTTTTGTGTTCTCCGAAGGGTTAAAGGGGACCCTGAACCCTAAACCCTACACCCTAAACCCTAAACCTAAAGAGGCACGGCTCCAGGGGCTGTAATTAGGGTTAAGCCAGGGTAAGACTTGTAGGGTTTAGGGTTTAGGGTTTAGGGTTTAGGGTTTAGGGTTTAGGGTTTGGGGTGGTATAGTGTTGGTCCTGGGCCGTGAGCTTCCTTGCACTTCTTGTGGAGAAAGGGCTGGAGGGGGGGAGGGGGGGGGGGGGGTCATGTACTGTAGCTCGGTAGGCCCTTGGGACATTTCATATTTTCCTTGCTTGGGTTTAAGAGGATCATATTCAGGAATATTTATTCAGAGGGTTTTAAGGGCCATCCTATATAGGGGTCGGAATAATTGTACTAGCAGTATTCCCTCATGGTCCCTATATAATCGTACTCTAATGATCGAACCCCACCGAAAGCCGATTCTACGTTTGAAGGCACCTTGTGTACCCGTAGAATATGCCAACAGGGACTGCACGGCAAGCACTAGCGGTTCAGTAGTGCCTGCACTTTCTGACTGAACTACGAGTTGTAGAGGCTTTTCTTAGACCAACATGCTGCGCGCTCGAAGGACTACGTCGCCTGCCACCATACGCCCCGCAGCAGCATCCGAGTGCATGGATCAATTTTGCGTTCCTTAAGTTTACCCTACAACCTATACGGCCTTCAAGACCCTGAACTCTGAACCTCTGCAGCCTTATAGTTAGCAGTTAGCCACCTTAAGAGGGTCCCCAAGAAATGTGCTTGGAGGCAGGCAGGGGGCAAGAGTCTACGTCTACGGATCGGTGGTTGGGACCTTGAGGCTCCGGTTACATGGCTCCCAATACCCTCAACGCATGAGCATCCGCTCTTCTCCTGCGCTAAACCCTAAACCCTAAACCCTAAACCCTAAACCCTAAACCCTAAACCCTAAACCCTAAACCCTAAACCCTAAACCCTAAACTCATCATGCTCCAAACGAGCCATTCCTTTGCTTCGGCTGGCGCGGCCTGTCTGACGATGTGGTTGTCAGGTCCTTCTTGGCAAAGTTCGACATGCTGTCCAAGGTGAACTGCTCTGTCATTGATCTGTAATTCGGAGTCTGGGTCGTTCATGTCATAACCATCTAGGATGGAAAGCTCTGTAGGCCCTTGAGACATTTCATTTCTTCCCTTAGTGGGTTTTAGAGGATCATATTCAGGGATATATTTTTTCAGAGGGCTTTACGGGCCAGGGTTTCGGGTTTAGGGGTGCAGGGGTTCAGGGGAGTCTAGGGTTTAGAGTTTGGGGTTTAGGGTGTAGGGTTTAAGGTTTTCAGGGTAGGGGTTCAGGGTCCACTGCATCCGAAAGCACCGAAGAACCTGACAGCATGTCTGCTTGTAGGCCCGCGAGGGTGGCGCTTTTGTGGTGAACTGCCCATGGAAGACCGTCGAGGACAGGCAATCGGTCAGACACTCGACATTCTCTCCCCCTTATACTAACAGTCCTTAGTAGGGATTATAATAGGGGGGTACTATCATCCCTATTTAGGACTGATAGTATAAGGGGGAACATCCCAAGATATCCCCTCGTTGATTAGACTCTTGGAGTTATAGGGTTCAAGGGTAGAAAAGGAGGTTTTTTGATTTGGGTTGAACCTAAACCCTCAAAACTAAAAGCCCGAAAAAGCCCTATAAAGCCCTAGAAATCCTGTAGACCCTTAAACCCTTAAACCCTCAAGCCCTTAAACCCCAGCCCTTAAACCCCGAAGAGCCTTCTCATGGGAGACGACCCACATCTTCCTAAACCCCTGAACTAAGGAATATCCCCTAATTCTAAATCAGGATCCTTTGTAGAACCCTAAACCCTAAACCCTAGGCCCTAAACCCTAAACCCTAAACCCTATATTTCTTAGTTCAGGTGTCTCGGAAGATCTGGGGATGCAGCTCCCCTTCAGGAGCTGGACCAGGAGTTTCCTGCCAAGCTCCGCCGCGCCATCGCCGAGAAGAAGGCCCGATTTGCCGATGGCGCCCTTGAATTTTGCAGGGTTTAGGGTTTAGGGTTTAGGGCTTAGGGTTTAGGGTTTAGGGTTCAGGGTTCAGGGTTCAGGGGTTAGGGGATTGGGGTTTCGAGCCAGGGAGGCTGTCAGGGGTTTATGTTGTATGCTCAGGCCCCACTGCTTTAGGACTTAAGTTCTTTGCCTTGGGTAGCTGGGCGGGCCCCTACCCGATGGCCGAAAACCCCTAAACCCCTAAACCCCTAAACCCCTAAACCCCTAAACCCCTAAGCCCCTAACCCCCTAAACCCCTAAACCCCTAAACCCCTAAACCCCTAAACCCCTAAACCCCCTAAACCCCTAAACCCCTAAACCCCTAAACCCCCTAAACCCCTAACCCCCTGAACCCCCTAAACCCCCTAAACCCCTGAACCCCCTAAACCCCCTAAACCCCTGAACCCCCTAAACCCCCTAAACCCCTGAACCCAAAACCCTGGAACCCCTAAAACCCCACGTAAACCCCTACACCCCTAAAACCCTCAAACCCCTCTAAACCCCGAAACCCATAAACCCCTCTTAAACCCTAACCCATAAAACCCAAACCCACTAAACCCCCTCCTAAACCCCCTAAAACCCTAAACCCATAAACCCCTAAACCCCTAAGAATCCCTAAAAACCCAAACCCCAAACCCTAAACCCCTTAAACCCTAAACCCCCCTAAACCCCTAAACCCCCCTAAACCCTAAACCCGTCTAAACCCCTAAAACCCCTAAAAACCTAAAAACCCCTAAACCCAAACCTTAAAACCCCTAAACCCCTAAACCCCTAAACCCCCTAAACCCCTAAACCCCCTAAACCCCTAAAACCCCTAAACCCCTAAACCCCCTAACCCCTAAACCCCTAAACCCCTAAACCCCCTAAACCCTACACCCTCAATTCGTGGAAGTCAAGCCGACAGTTTGGCTCAAGTTGTGGTTCAGGGTTTACAGAGTCTAGGATTGCGAGCTCAACAAAGAGATAGCTAAAGCTTAAAGGATTTTTGCTTCGTGAGGGTTTTAGGTCTAGGTTTTCAAGGGTTTAGGGTTTAGGGTTTAAAGGGTTTAGTGTTTAGGGTTTCAAGGATTTAGGGTTTATAAAGGGTTTAGGGTTTTGGGGGTTTGGGTTCTTGTTGGCCAAAGTTCTACCCAGGTGGAGCTCTACACCATCGACGCCCACGCGGTGGCCAGCTCCGTAGGAGACACTTCATTTTTTTCTTTGAGGGTTGGGGGGGGTGGCATGTAGGGTTTAGGGTTTTTAGGGTTTAGGGTTTAGAGTATAGGGTTTGGAGTTTATTGTTTGTAGGTTGTAGAGTTCATGGTTCAGGGTTTAGTAGGGTTTAGGCTTGAGGTTTCTTGAGAGGTTTGAACACCCCATCTACATAGACCCCAAAAGACCGTCAGCTGTAAAGCTCCCTTTTTAACTGCATTCCTGCACTCCTTTTTGAGTGTCTTAAACATCAAGATAACCGTAAACCCTAAACCCTAAACCCTAAACCCTAAACCCTAAACCCTAAACCCTAAACCCTAAACCCTAAACCCTAAACCCTAAACCCTAAACCCTAAACCCTAAACCCTAAACCCTAAACCCTAAACCCTAACCCTAACTTTTTTAAAGCCCAGTGCCCAAGCGCAAATTCCCCAAGAGGTTCGGAGTTTGGGTGCTGATTTCGCAGCGCCTGCACGGGAAATCCACGCGGGGTTTAGGGTTTAGGGTTTAGGGTTTAGGGTTTAGGGTTTAGGGTTTAGGGTTTAGGGTTTAGGGTTTAGGGTTTAGGGTTTAGGCATTGTGGCTTCGCACTGCCTATGCCGCAGCTTCGTGGTGAGGACTTCCTGCCAAGCGCATCAACCAAGTCATGCAGGCTGGGCGCGGGATGCACGTTGATGAGGACCTGGAGTAGGCCCTCATTCCTTTTTTTCAGGGCTGGGGTTCCCTTATCTTCCCCTTAAAACCAAAAAAGTGCACCCTTTTATTCCTAGGTTACTCCTGGGTCTAGTAGCCCTAAACCCTAAACCCTAAACCCTAAAAACAGCACCGAAGCATGTCGACAGAGCTCCCACCCTCAAAACCCCACAAACCTCATTGCCAAAGTCCGAACTCACAGCTGACCCGAAGCTGTCTCGTCAGCAGGTTTCTACGGATGGCATATTGGGCGGGGGGGAGGGTCGTTCTAGATTTCTGATTAGAGTCCGATCCCCATATCCCATCCCCATATAGGCACCTGTTGACACCAGCAGCATGCTGAAACGGATGCTTAGGGTTTGGGCCACCCGAAGCCTTATAAACTCCAAAGCTTTGAGTGTCGAGGCTTGATTTTGGAAACCCGCTGAGCCCTGAAACTGGTGTACATTGTACATCAAGGTTGGCTGGATTAATGTTCAGGGTTAAGGGTCTGGTGTTTTTCGGTTTAATATTGTTTAATATTGTTTAATATTGTTTAATATTGTTTAATATTGTTTAATATTGTTTAATATTGTTTAATATTCTAAGTTAGGGTTTTGGGTCGTGCCCCCATAGACCAGAAGCCCCGCAGCCCGGCAAGGACGGAACTGGGAGTTGCTCCGAATCAGGGTTCTAACGCTAGTTGCATGGGTTTAGGGTTTAGGGTTTAGGGTTTAGGGTTTAGGGTTTAGGGTTTAGGGTTTAGGGTTTAGGGTTTAGGGTTTAGGGTTTAGGGGGTCCCTTAACTGATATTGACCCTTACAAGGGTACCCCCTTATATGAAGCAGGGTTTTTATTACTGCGATTGGGGAGTGTATATGAGGTTCCTTTTTTTGGTGAGTGTAGAAACTTGGTTTCCTTTCGGGGATACAAGGAATATAGACTCTACTCTATATACCCCTTATATACCCTATACAAATTCAGGGCCCATACATCAGAGCCCTTTGAAGGAGGTGAGGGACCATATTAAGGGCCCATGAAACTACCCTTAAAAGGGTCACTGGTGGGGGGACTCCCGTAGTTCTGAGTTCCGTCATGCTATCAGGAGTGTATATCTGTATGAAGTGACCCACCCCAGAATCAGCCAGCAAACCCTCTGAGATTGCTGACCAAGGCCACCTTTTTCAACCTCTCCGG